ATAGGCTCCACTGGACATGGGGGAAGCTTCCACCAACTCATGGAAGCCAACCCTGTCCCCTGCTGCCTGCTACAAAACCTCGCCATGCAAATCCATTACATTATTATATCCAGCGTCTGGACTAATATGGAACAGGGAATTACTGTAATATGTCTGCAGTCCAGGAAGAGGCTGCATTTATTCACTTTTACTGTCATTCCAAACAGTAATAAGATCATCTCCTGGAAATATCACATCAGAGTCACTGCTTTAGTTGTTTATTAAACATACCAGATTTTGAACCAACCCATTAATAAAAATGCATGAGCACAAAGAGATCCTGGTATATCCATATAACACACTGATCCCCCTTAACCTAAAATAGACTGTTTGTTAAATACTTCTCTGCAGTCCGATTCACAAGAAACCCTCTGCTGCACCAAGTTTTTCATTTACAAACCGATGCTTATTCACCTCTGTTAAGCTCTTAACTTTGCGCATTCCTGGTAAACTGGTAAAGGAAGGAGCGGATGACGGCAGAGTGGTCCAAGCCAGCACCAGTCCCTGTTGTCATGGCAACTGGTGCTCGCACAGCCCGGCCCTCGGCTGCTGCTGCTCCCAGGCCTCTGCTGCAAAGGATGGAAAACCGATTTTCCAAAACTTCTGTGCGAAAGGTTACATCCAAACCACCATATTCTGCGCACGGACTCTTGACCAGAGCCTAGCTACAAATATGGGCCTGATCCATAAAACTTCCCAGAGTTGTCAGTGATCAGAAAACAGTGGAGCAGCAGCATGAGCCAGTCATTTAGCCTCAGAGAACAAAGCAAGAATTATTAATAAACACTCAAGTATATTAAGGGCAATTATACAAGATAAAGTGTTAGCCAGCCAGATTGCTAGACAGTGATAAAATTTCTCCTGTATTCCTCTCGTTTTCTCTATTTATTTTAAGGACTCAATTCTTCTTTCATTTCATAGGTATTTTGCAAATATCTTCACTGGACAGATTTCATTCCTCACAGTCCACTGACTGCAGTTATGTTTGCTGATGCCATGAGCAAGTTTTTCTCCTGAGTGCATGAAGTGAGTCTGTGTCAAACATGGATAATGTTTTTCTTTAATATGCTTCAGGAAAAAAAGACTTTTCAATAGAAATAGTGAAAAGTAGAAAGCATAAACCCAATTTTTTTTAGCTGATACTGTGAGTCACACAATGATTAAAATTCAACAAATGTTTTACTAGTTGAGAAACTGTATGTGTCCTGAGCTTTATGCAGATTTTCATTTCTGATATAAGAGAATTATTTTTCACTTGGTTGGTACACTAATTCAAAATTAATTACTTTTATTTGCATTTCAGTAACAATCCCCATCCAAGACTGGGGTCTTACTGTGCTGGTTGCTGTAGGAAAATAGTAAGGAGAGATCCTGTCCTAAGGCGTTTGCAGCCTATGAGATAAACCCTGATTGTAAGGTCTCTCTGACCACAGAGCAACATGTTGCTTTATCCACTCTAAGCACTTTCAAGTCTAATAAGGAAAAAATAATTGAATACAGCAGCAAATTTAGCCAGTGAAAATGGAAAGAAATAGAAATATGATGACTTAAAGCCTTCTTTAAAAAAAAAGAAATTAATTTTTGTTTATAGTTGATTTTGAATGGGTTTATAAAGCACTTTTACAGTACTGGTTTGTTGTAGGAAACTGTGCATATTAAATTACTAGGCTACACATATACATAAATATAAACATATCAGCAAGTTATCCCAATGTAACACAGTGGGCTATGCAAATGTGTTCCAAAATATTTGAAAGTTTTTGTGTGGTTTTTGTTAAATCACTCTTTTCCCTGTGGTTTGCTTGTAACCCATGGTGACTGACCCGCAGATTCTTACTTCCCCAGAAAGTCATTACTTGTGCTAACACTTCCACTTAGCTGAATCAGACCCTCTAAAGAGAAGGCAATTTGTGCTAAGAGTTGCAAGGATCAAGGAACGGTTACTAAGCAGAAATGCAGTCTATTATTTTTCCCAGCTATAGCCTACGCAATAGCTGAATCCTGTGAAAAGTTCTTTGCTCTCATAGCAATGGATGTTCTTACAAGAAATGGCTCTATTGTAGGGGCTCATTGTGACTCTTTCCTTTTTCCTCCCCTGTGAAAGCCACTCGCCCTATGAACAGTATGTACACTTGTCTTCTACAAGATATCTTTTGATTTCACCACCTGCAGTGCTTCATGAAGTTATTTAGTACTTTTCTATCCCTGTTCATCTTTATCAATTTATCCTGTTCATCATTACCAAAACCTCAGCAGCATACTGCAACAAGTTGCAACCATCTATATTCGTGGCTGTTAGTGACTTCTTGTGACCTAAGTTACTTCTTCTGAACCTAAAACCATCTGTCTTATTTTAGCTATATTATAACAACTAACATTGTCCTAAATGTATTCCTGTAAAAAATAGGAAGATTACAATAAACTTTATTAAAATGGATGTAAAAAATCAAGTAGGGAAGTTAAATATTCTAAGAAAGCATCAATTGAAATGGGGCAAATAAAAGAGGAAATGGTAAAATACTTCCTTCATAATAGAATAATATTTTAGCTTTCAAACATCTTTGTTTAAGGCACAAAGATTTGGCTACAGAAATACATATAATTCCAATGAGAGCAGGCACAGAAAGCTAAATGTACTGGCTGACAAAGAGAGAAGGATATAATGAAATATGTGGTGGGATTTGTGGGGATGAGATTACTCAGATTAATATAGGATAGTTCCTAACCTTTTCCTCATTGATACACTTGCTAATCCTGCACACACTACATTCTTTCATCCTGAGTGATTTACTCCTCTTCACACTTTGATGTCCAGTGTCTGTTGTTTTTTCCATTTAAAAGAAACATGTTGACAATCACAGCCACCTCTTACTGCTTTTGTCCTTTTCCCAAAATACTTCCTTCATCTTATCTTTACTTCTGTCTCTTCACAGAATTTCACCAATTTATTCCAAGTGAAAAATGACAACTTCATCCTCTTTTCCCCATCCTCCTTTGGTGCCCCCTTCCCTGGCTGCCTCCCCTTCTGTGTCCCAATTACAGAGTCTTCCTACCTTGACTTACGTCAATGTCATGTCCCATCTCCCCATCACCCCCATCCTGCTCATGTGCCCTCCCTTACTCTTCTCTTTTATCTCTCAATTTTAGGTGGTTTTCAGTTCTCGCAATAAAGGTATGTTTTCCTCTTCATGTCTTAAACTCACACTTGACCTCATTTGCCCCTCCAATTTTTCCTTCCTCTCCCTTTCATCTGTAAATTCACTTAACGTGCTGTTTCTAGTTCCCTAGAGTACCTCTACTTATTCCTTTTCCGTTCTTACTTCAAACCTTACCCTACTACAGCTCTCCATGAAGTACTTTATGACTTTCAAGGCGCTAATTGGGAGCAGTGTGTGTTCCTCAGGTTCCTTAAGCTGCCACCACCATAGCTGTGTTGAAGAGTAAATCTTGCCCTTACTTAAGTCCTACTAGTCTTTCCTTTGCTCCTACTAGTCTGTCCTCTCCTCATTCCCTTTCCTCTAATCTCTTCTTTCTTGTAAAATTTCTCTTACCCTAATCAGTCTCTGTTGGACTTGAGTGTTGTCCTCGTCTCCTTACTGCTGGTATTCTCATCTCGAAATACAAATTCAACTATCATATGTTTCTGGGAAGAATACTTCTGGTCTATCCCTTTATTAACTCCTATTCAATATTAAGTCTTGGACTATCTGGCTTCTGTTTGTGATGTTTAGGCACCAATTCAAAGTAAACATGGCTAAGATAACTCTAATTGTGGGTGCAGAGGTAACGCTCACTGTGTTTAGCCTTCACGGCTGGAGACGAGACTGACACCTGTCATTCGAACTTACTGGCCAGCACTGTCTTGAACGTCTTTAAATTCCTGATATAATCTTCTTTAACATGGCATTTCATAGACCCATTCACCTTCAAATTCTCATAATTTCACATGTGATTACTACAAAGTCTTTCTTTAGCCTTCAGGAGTAAAACAGACCCCTTGTGACTTCTCCTTCCCTGTCATATTCTGGTCAGCAGAGAGTCATGATCTCCGTATTCCAGTCGGCCTATGATGCCCACCTTTGTGAATTTTCACTCCTGCACTTCCATAATTTCTTTTTGATGCTTTGTTACTTGCTATAAATGTCTGTAAAGCTACTTCTTTTCCTCTGAAGCTGCCTATAGGCATTTACTACTTTATATGGAAATTGTAATCTATGTGGAGCAGTGACCACTTTCATGCTGTGTACAATATGAAGCATGATGAATTTCTGGAACTAGGCTGAGATTTCTAGATATTGCTGCAATACCTAAAATTCTTAAAACATTTAAAACTCCACATCAGATCAGAGCTCCTCATTCCCTTTCCCATATCCGCCCCTACTGTAATACCTCAGGTTCACAGCTAAGGATGTGTCACGCTGACAAGAACTGGGAAATTCAAACTTGCAGGTCAGCTTCTGTGCAGCCCACCCTCTGGCCAGTTTTCTGCAGATCAGAAGGTATCAGAGGTAGTGTGGAAGAAGGCTGCGCACCTCTTCCTTAATTCAAACCTATTGCCTAAATGACTTGTTTTGCAGAAGAAAAAGCCACGTATTCCACAGCAAGACCCTCCAAGATCAAGTTCTCTTCCATTCTGGTGACGCTGTCCCAAAGCTGCAGGCATTTAATGCTTTCGCTCGTAACCGAGCACCGCCGTGAGCGGGTCTCTGGACCCTGAGCAGCTCTGTTAGCGCAGAGCCTGCTCCCAGCCGGGCAGGGCAGGCGCTCCGAGCGCTCCGCGGCTTTAGCGCAGACTTGGGCGCCTGCATTTCTCGGCGGGAGCGGAATATGTTCCCCTCGCAGCAGGTAAAGGGGGTGCACACACACAGCTCCGTGCACGCACACGTGTGTGTGAGGTGTCTATACAAGGTGTGTCACGGCCGCTCCCCGTCCCGCGGACCCCCCGCGCCGCCCGCACTCACCGGGGCGCGGCCCGCCCTGCTCTCGCCCGAGCTCGGCGCCGCCGCCCTCCTGCTGCGGGCTCTCGGAGTCCGTGTTGGTCAGCCAGGTGGACTCGGTCTCCCGCGTCCAGCTCTCGTAGTACCGGGGCTCGATGGCGTCGGCCCGGCTGCCCCCGCAGCCCATGGCGAGGCCCCGCTCTCAGGCTCAGTCACAGCTGCCACCGCCGCCCGGGCACCATCGCACTGCCGGGCATCGCCGGCACCGCTCACGCCCCCCGCCACATCCCCGCTCGTCCGGCTCTCCCCGGCTCCGCTCGTCTTTCTCCCCCTCCTCCCCGGCTTTATTATCTCCGCTGCCCCCCCTCCCTCCTGGCTGTCCCCTCCCCTTCTCCTCCCGCTACCCCGTTCCTTCCCCTCCCGCTTCCCTCCACTCTCACATCTCACCCCCTCCCGCCCCGGCCCCGATCTCTCCCCATCCCCGGGTGTCCCCCAGAAGCGGGCATTGCAGCTTCCGCCGCGGCGCTGGCTCTGCCCCGCCAAATTCCTCCGGCTGCCCGCGGCCGGGGGCAGACACGCCGCGGGCGGGCAGCGCTCCCTCCTCCCCGGGTTATGGATCTGTACGGGGAGGATTTACTCGCACATGCCAGCGTGCCACAGCTAGCAAGGCACAGCAGTCCTCCCGGCCTGCGCTTAGCAGCAAGCGCATGTACCCTGACTGGGTCTTGTGCTCCGCTTCACTAGGCCATCTGCCCTTCCCTGATTTAGCCGGGAGAGCCTTGCTTCCACCTTTAGCGTTAGCTGGTTTGCTGCTGTATAAAGGTGCAATACTGAGTGCTCAACTCCAGAAATACTTCCGGCTCTTTCCTGTTGGTTACTCACTTTGGGAGGCAACAGAGAACATGAGATATCTGCAAAACGGACTATAATTTAGGTTTATGCTCAGGGTAATCTAAACAGGCACAGAGATTTTTGAGTCACTGATGGTGGTTGCAGTTAGTATTGCAATAGCTGCTTGTCAAGGTCCCTGTCAGGGTTGGAGCCAGCTCCATGAACACTAGGCACTGTGGGATCGTGTCATGAGAAAGAGACTTTAGCCCAGATGGATGTTTCTCTCCTGGAATCATTTTGCAGTAGAGCAGTAGGAATAACTGTCCCCTAAGACAACCTACAGAGCAATACGGAAGTCATGTTCTACACTCCATAACATTACACAGTGTGGCTCTTGGCTAAAAAAGATATATATCCATTGAAATCTGGAGAAACAGGCTGTCCTGTGTTATAGGAGCTGAAAGTAGGAACACAAACTCTCTGGAGCTAAAAGATCTTGTTTCTAAAGGCTGGTACACGATTTTTAAGACGATCCCATAGGCCTTAGCTCTGCATCCCAGCTGCTCTGTCCTGTCTTCTGGTTCTGAAGTGATTCAGGTTGAAAACTGCTCTATGAGTTGGTGAATCACTTATTACGCTTCCTGAAGCAGACGACTGTTCAGGTGTTTCTAAGCAGCTTCCTAGTCAAATACTGACTCACAACAACCTTACTTTCCAACTGTGATGAAATCCCTCACCCATGGGGGTGCTGCTGATAGTTATTGCCCCCGTACTTGTGCTACCAAGGTCCCAGGATCAGAGGGGCAGTGATTTGTGAGGAAGTAGCTACTTTTTCATCACTGTGGTAATGCTTTGTAGATTAGAAATATGTTATATTTATAAAAAGAGGGTTTCAACACAGATTGTATTTCAATCAGACTGCCCCACCAGCAGATTGTCCCCAGAGCAATGGAATATAGTGCTGTTTGAAGCCAATCATGAGGTCTAACACATATCCTTCCCAGGAGTTGTGTGTGCCCTGGGTGGGCATAGGGCATGGCCCGGAAAAAACTGCCAGACATGCCTGAGTCTCCAAATAAAACCTCAGCAACACAGTCAGTGTCTCACGCTGTAATTACGTGAAACAGCTTTCTAGGCTGAGAGCACTAGACAAAGTACATGCTGGAACAGAACCTTGGGGGAGCCTTTTTATTTTGTTTCATTTTGCCTTAAAATTTGGAGGGGCTCTGATAGGGTCTGCTGGCATGTGTATTTTCACATCATTTCGATTTCAGTTCTAGATGCGTTTCATCTTGTGACACTTATTTTTCCTAGCACAGTTTTCAAACCCTTTGAAAGCCACTGGCAAGAGAACAAAAGGCTTCTCTGTCTTTCCTATTATTACCACTACCACTAGAGAGGAATTAGACCATAAATGTAAAGTGGAGTCTTAAAGCATTATATTGAACCATGTTCATTTTCCTTGAGCCCTACAGAGGTGCCTGCTTTGTACTACTACTTTGCATCACCTTTCAAATTTCTGCTTTTGGTGGAACATGGAGAAAATTACTGCAGGAAAACAATAATGTAACTATTACTGCTTTTGTATTTAAGCTGCTGGTGTAACTGTGGTTTAGAATTTAAAAAATACTTTGAAATAAAAAATTTTGTATGACTAAAACAAATAAAAGATGTTTGTTAGCACTGTAAGTAAATGGCTTAACTTTATTTTCATCAATTCCAAGCAGAACTGAGAACTTTTTGAAACTGGAAGTTTTTTTCCACAGCTAGAAGAACTTCTATAGAATCATAGAGTGGTTTGGTTTGGAAGGGACCTTAAAGATCTTTTAGTCCCAACACCCCTGCCATGGGCAGGGACACCTTCCACTAGACCAGGTTGCTCAAGGATGCATCCAAACTGGCCTTCCAGGGAGAGGGCGTCCATAACTTCTCTGGGCCACCTGTTCCAGCACATGACCACCCTCACAGTAAGGAATTTCTTCCTTATACCTAATCTAAATCTACCCTAAAAATACCCTACCTAAATCTTCAGTTTGAGACAACTCATGTTTTATTCTTTGTTGTATTAAAAATTAATTTACGAGACTAGGAGGAAAAAAGAGATTTTAATTGTTTTGTTAAAAGAGCCAAATGCAATCAATTGCAGGTACCTTTGTATCAGAATTCATTCTGATTAATTAAGAAAATTACTTCTCACTGCTGAGTGTGCAGGGCACAATGTTCATGGATCTGCACCCTTCTGATTTCCTTCTGAGCCAGAGAGCAAACTCTGAGGAACATAGCCATTGTGTGAGAGGGCATATGCTGTAGCTATAAAGTACCACAACCTGTGTCAGGGAAGTGCATGTTGGCTGGCATGAAACAGGTGATGACAGCTTTAATACAGTAAGGTAACAACACAAGAATATGAATTCAATAATATTAATTGTGCACTGAGAATCATATTGGGGAAGAAAGTAGACAGAAAAGGAAATCTGCCTTCAGAAATACAGAAAATACCCATGATGAGATGAATCCTTGGCCTGACTCCATCTCGTCCAGTAGTGTAATCAGATGGGAACTAATCTGCTGGTGAAGCTGGGTGGAGGGCAGCCGGTGTAGGGCAGGAAGAAGTTGATGGCAATGTATGAGTGAAGAACTGAAATCTGCAGAACTCTTGAGGGGAGAAACTTTACAATTTGTTTTTCTTCCTTTACTTCAGCACCTGAGGAGGTGTAGCCTGGCAGGAGAGGGATTAAGAACGCAATTTTTGGGATCAAATTTAACTTGTCATGCTGTTAGCCTCATGCCAGGAGATGATTAATGCAGTAAAATCTGATCTCTCTCCATTAATTGTTAGAAAAAGGGTGGCCTCCCAGAGATCCTATTAGTGGAGCTTGTACTGCATTTTAGCTTCCTCTGGTTTTGTGCTGTCTGATGCACACTGTGCAGTGATGCTTTTCTCCCTTCCACTGACAGTGATGTCTGCTCTGTGTATACTGCTTTCAAGATATGCTACTTCAAAAATGGGAGTAGGGAGTAAAGGGATGAGATGGTCAAGGGAAGGGGATCCCAAGGATTTTACATTTACAGTTTCTCTAAAATGGGGTTAAAATAATTAAGACACTTTCCTCATAAAATCCATATGAAATTGTGGTAGGACCCATTATTATTTTTCCCCACAGACTACAATTCTTTTGTATCCCAATGATCATTTCAGTGCTAAGTGCAAGAGGTGCAGTAGGAGATTTATTTAGGAAAAGATGTCCTGCCTCTCTTTGGATTTTTGGCTGGCATCTCTGCTTGTTCTATTAGATGGTGTTTTAGCAAAGACACCGGTTAAATTTGGGGTTAGGTCCCAGATTTTTTTGCAAATCTGTTCTCTTCACTCCAGAAAGCAGACAGGAGATAATTTTGTCACTTACCCAGGACCCCTGTGATTCAATGACATCATTAGAGAGAAGAGAAGAATTTGTGTTTAAAATGTGCTCTTTCTAGTAAGGTATTTTGTATATCTGAGGAGAAATATAATTATTTAGCTGTGTTATACCCACTTGACATCATCACTCCAAGCTTGCAATATGCCGGGAAGCAAGATTGCCTCTGAAACTTTCACACTGCATACTTGAGTCAGCTCTCCTCCTGCCAGCAGATATTTACTTCAAGTAAATGACTGAGCATTCCTCTTTACTGTTGTGAGCACTTGGAAAATATAATTTTCTTGCCTTGATTGCTCAAATATTTCTCTTAAACAGTTTTCAAATGTATACCGTATAATTTTCACATTGCTCTGCCTTATTTATGCATTTCTTTCAACAAGGAAATGATAGCATTCATTCTTGGCCATTCAAAAGGTTTTCAGTTTAGTATTCACAGCTTCCTGGACATAGGAATGTAGGTGATACTCAGTTACTGCTGAAGGTTTGGGAAGATGTCTCCAAACAGCTCATAAATAGGAAGAATTTAATTAACTTACTCTTTCACTGCATCTTTTTCTTGTTTGAAAATGACTCTGAAACACAACCTCAAATTCTAACATAGAGAGTAAGGCCTTGAATTCCTCCATCCCAGCCTGCTAATTTAGTTTCAAATTGGATTAAAAACCCCAGAGGAATAGTTTACCAGATTCTTCGTTGTGAGTAACAGTACCCTGGCAGCACAGAAGTTTTCTGTGATGATGTACTATCAGGAAAATTTCAGTCAATTCTTTCCAGCTTTCTCAGCCTTTGAACCACAGCTTGACTTTAATGCTGACCTGTACTTGTCAGGGTCCAACCTCCTTCCCTTGTGAATAGTGAACGTTTCCTAGTGAAGATACTGTAAGTTTTGCATAAGTGGGAGGTTTAGAATCAGTACAATCATATTCACTTTCCCAGCAACTATTGGAAAACTATTACCTAGCAGGCATCAGTGTCCTCACTGCATGGCATCTTACTG